GGCAAAGTGGCTTTCACAAGACATTGCTGTATAAACCTTCTTTTCTCCCCCACCACTTTACCATTTGTGATATTTGAGTGCTGAGTGACAAAGACAAGTCAGATTGGGTAAAATAAAAATAAGAGGAAAATTACAAATTTCTATAGGTATTACAAAATATTTGGCATTTTGCATAGAAATAGAAACTTCATAGAAAGCCTAAGAAACAAATATTCTTATAAAAATGTCTTTCTAGAGAGAATGGAATCTTTGAATTTTTTGAAACTATCTTCTAATGAATCATTCTGTCATTCCCCTCTGTGATTTTTCCTCACATCTCCCCATCTTCCCTTAAGAAGCTAATTTCCTTAAAGTTTTTGATATTTTTGTTTATTATTATTTTTTTGTAAGTTTTTCGAACTTTATTACAAACTTTGCAATATATACTGGTCTATGGTACAAATCCTGGAAAAAGAATTTTTTAATGTGAATCTTTGGTTTGGTAGTTGATTTGTCTTTTTGTATGGGAAAAATATACAGACGAGGTTGTATCTCTTCCTGTTTTATTATTCAAAAGTCATAAGCACAATTGTACAGTAACAAAGGAGGGATTCAGATTCTAAAGTGAAAATCTGCCTTCTTCAGGTGTCATGGGCATTTGGCCTTAATTTTTCAGTAGCACAAATATTATTCATAATATGAACTCAACTAGAAATGTTATAAAGTGAAATTTGATTATTCATTAACTGGTTGGAATAATGTTTGTTGTCCTAAGTTAAAATAATAACATTTATTATTGTTATATTTATTATTTTTCTGATCCTCCCTATATCATTCATATAGACTTTCGATGAGTTAAGTGAAAAACATGAAAACGTATTTCATGTTAAACATGAAAATATTTCAGAATATTTTTAGCTAAATAAAGAAATATTTGCTTTCTTACATTCACATATATTATGTTAGTTACCACAATAATTTGACCCCTCAGATATTTTACCCCCATGTGGATGAGGCTTTTGATACTCAAAAGAGGTTAAGTACATTGCTCTAGGTAGCAATTAGTAAATTGGAATGACAAGGTGAAGTCCAAGGCTTTAGACTCCAAAAGTTACCCTAAATTTCTCTTATTTACATATATACTTTCGTCTCCATTTTCCTAATTGCTTGATACCTTGACATTTACTGGATATCTTAAGATATTATAATACAACAATGTTCTTATTCTCCAGTTCAGATTTTCTTTATCTTTTACTAAAAATTTTAGAGCAGATGATTTAGGAACCTATGGGTCCCAAATACATATATTTGGCAACAGGTACAACTTGTACTTGGTCATCTAAATCCATTGTAGAAGATGGGACAATTAAAGAGAGATGCATTTATCCAATCAACACGTGAATTGCAGACATTTCTCTAGAAACTGGAGTGTTGGTGATCAGAAGAGATGAAATAACTTGATCTCTTGAAGATTTCTAGTGGGGGGGGCACAGGAGAAAAGAAAAGAAAAATAAACGAAATGTATAGTTTAGGTAAGTGCTGAGGAGAAAATAATGCAGGAAAAGCAATAGAGACAGTCAGAATGGGGAAAAAGTGTTTTAGATAGAATGACTCAGAAAAACCCTCTGTGAGAAGGTGACATTTGAATTAATAACTAAAGGAGGGCAGCAAGTAAGCCATGCAAATATCTTTTGGAAGAACATTCCAGGGAGTGTCAAATGCAAAGACCCTGGAGTGTCCTTGACACATTCAAACAATGGAGCAGGCTGACAGTGGTGGAATAACCAAAGGAGGGACAGGATAGGAAATGATGTCACAGGGATGCAGATTTGAGGACTGTATAGTCCTTTGTAAACACTTTGGTGTTTATTTTCATTGAGATGGGCGGCATTAAAGGCTTTGATTACAGGAGTGATATTGCCTGACTTGTATTTAAAAAGAATCTTTCTGTTGTGCTGAATATCGAGGGAAGGGGGAGTAAGGTCACAGTTGGGAGATCAATTAGGCAGCAATTCAAAAAAAATTCTGGTGGCTCCAACCAAGCTGGTGCAGTTGAGCTGATGAGAATCTGTTAGATTTGGAAGGTAGGGCCCGCAAGACATTCTGCTGGAAATATGTGCTAAGTTTTGGGCCAGAACACTTCAAAGAATGGAGTTGCTATTTACTTAACTGGCGAAAACAAAGGAAAGGACAGATCTGGGGGGAGATGGGGGAAGAATAGATTAAGATGAGGAGCTTAGTCTTGGACATACAATATTTGCTACCTTATTAAACATCCATGTAGTGATCAAATGAATGCTAAAGCTATACTGACTTAAAAGGGTTCAGCTCTAAGGCATTTGGTCTAAGAGGAATAGGAATATAATCATTCAAAACCAAATTTTTAAAGCATTTTTTGTGCGTCAAGCACAGTACTAGGTGCTGGGATATAATATTAATCAGATGGATATGATCCATGCTCTCAAGGTACATGATAGTATATAGTTTAGTGTTATTGGTGACTGAGTTACATAGTGTTCACAAACACAGAAGCTCAGAAATAGAAATATTTGATCCATTATCACATTGTTACGACTATACCTAACAGTTTTATTTAATTGACCATTCTCTTGAAGGGCATTTAATTTTTTTCATACACTGACCTCCTGGAAGTTCTATTACGGCCGACTGTTGTTATATAAAGAAGGCTTTTTATACTTACATCTCTTATTAGCATTTAATGCTCATTGTTCATTTCATCTTACTGGTAAAATTCAAGTGTCGGGTTGTGTTCGAGGGGTGCTGCTCTCCCAGTATGGCATACATACAGGTGCTTGGTGTTGATGGTTTCCTAGCTCAACAGTCATACCTGAAAAGTGAATGAGTCACTAGGCTTCTTTGTTCTGTGTTTGAGTGTTACATACTTTTGCTACTGACATTTCGAGATAGGGTATTCTTCTCTTAATAACTCTGCATGGGGTTTTTGAAGGGTCTACTGAGGCACTGAGTAAAGTAAATACACTTCTAATAATGCAACTACCCAGACAAAGACAGGAGTTTTTTTTTGGTTTCTTTTCTTTTTTTTCTTTTCTTCTTCTTCTTCCTTTTTTTTTTTTTTTTTTTTTTTTTTTTTTTTTTTTTTTTTTTTTTTTTTTTGTTAGTGTTTTAGGTCGTTATGATACATTCGAGAAGGTATTCTACCTACCATTTTTCCCATTATGAAAGACTGCTGTGCTGAACATTGGTGCTTGATACTTAATCACAGCATTTTTCCTTTGAGCCAAAGAAGAGAGAAAATAGCCCTCTGTTCAGGGAACTAGGTAGCACTAACCACTCTTCACTCTCAAATAGGAAAAGTAATTTAAGCTATCAGGGACTCAACACTGCTTTAGTAGTATCCTCTAGAGGAAAAAAGCAGTTAAAGCAAAATTTCATGTGGTTTTCTTTCATGATTGGAGCTCCTTCTGAGAAATATGTTAAGAGTTATGCAGGAATATTTCAAAACTGTTTCATTTTTAGTGTTCTAGCTGAGGTCTTCGTCAAATAACAACTGTGAAGTCGTACCTGGCAGAATGAGAAGTGCTTTGATTCAGGTTACAGCATGGTGGCTCGCTTCTAAGAATTTCTGCATTCGGAAGAATCTTTGAAAGCCTGAAGCTTGAACAATAATAAAATAGGAAGCCTGGATATTTATATATATTTTTAAATCTGGCTAACGTAAGACAAGTAAATGTGGTAGCTTTCATCCCAAAACAAAAGTCAATATGTATGACCTAGAAGTTGAAAAAATCATCAATCAGAAACACTTCTCTTTTTTGTCAACTTAAAATTTTTTCCATATACATGTTTATACATTTACTACTTTTGCATATATCCATAAAGATCAATGTCATCAAGTTGTATATTTTAAAATTTTACATGAATGGTATATAGTGTAGATCCTTCTGCTGTTTGTTTTTCTTAAAAAAATCTGATATTAGATTTTTGTGAAGTATCTATGTTTGTAACTGTAAATCTAGTAAAGTGATTTTCTGCTATTCTTTAGAATATCGTTGCATAAATTAACCTGCATTTCCCTACTGATAAAAGTTAGGTATTTAGGGATTTTCAAGAATCCTAGAAAGAAAAGAGAAATTGACAGGCAATTTCTCAGCCCAGAACAAGGACAGAAATGAAATCATGGATCACTAAGTACATGGCAAATATGTTGCTCACAGTACTATTCTAACAGAGCCAAAACATGCTGTTTCAGTACGGAAGTTTTCATGAACTTTTCCTTGTTTCTTAGCTCTACTGTCTGTTTTAGGCTGCTCTTTGGTATAGTAATTTCGAATATTTATTTTCTGTCTACAGATAATAGGCTCTATTCTTGCAAAACCTTTCAAGGATCAAACTTCCTGATCTCCTTAAGCCATTCAATATGAATATAAATCCAATGACTATCCTCATTCTTTTTGATCTCCTCACTAAATAAATGGTACACATATGTGGGTATTCATCAGAATTAACTGGGAATCTTTATAAAAATACATACTTATAAGACTCAACCTTGGAAACTCTGATAAAAGATTTATAAGACAAAGGAATTGTGTTTTTTATAAAAGATCCTTAGGTGAGCTGAGATACCATTTCCCTATGTGCATAGCTTAATTTTTAAAATGGTATTCTTTAGCAGGGGTTGTCCAAATTTAATTCTAAAAAGTTATATAGAATTTTTTTTTTAAAAAGTTTTACTTAGAAATCTTTGGCCAGAATTAAGTAGGTCTGCTTCAACTCCTTGTATTCTGAAAATATATGTAGCTAAGAAAGGAGTAAACACCATTGTCATCTCTGAATATCAAACTGATTTATACCTCAGAGAAGAGATTAAATGCTTTATCTATGGAATAGAAAATTCAAATAATTAAGTTATTTTATTCATGGTGGATGTGGAGGATACTTCATGCATTATTAAAATCATGTTTCCTGAATCCAGGTCCTTATAAAACTTTATAAATGGTTATGTATAAGTGCAACTTATGACTTTTTTGTTGTGTTTCCAGCACAGTGATGCGGTCCATGACCTTCTTCTGGATGTGATCACGTGGGTTGGAATTTTGCTGTCCCTTGTTTGTCTCCTGATTTGCATCTTCACATTTTGCTTTTTCCGCGGGCTCCAGAGTGACCGTAACACCATCCACAAGAACCTCTGCATCAGCCTTTTTGTAGCAGAGCTGCTCTTCCTCATTGGGATCAACAGAACTGACCAACCCGTAAGCAACCTGTGTTGATACTAGTAAAGAATTTCTCCACTTCCAGCTTTCCCATACTGCCAATACCAGAAATATTCATTCTCTTCCCATTATCTAAGACAAATACTCATTTTCAGATCTTACCCAGTTTTCCATTTTTCCTGTCCCATTGTCATAAAGAAGCAGTGAATGGTCGGGCACGGCGGCTCACGCCCATAATCCTAGCACTCTGGGAGGCCGAGGTGGGAGGATCTCTCAAGGTCAGGAGTTCGAAACCAGCCTGAGCAAGAGTGAGACCCCGTCTCTACTATAAATAGAAAGAAATTAATTGGCCAACTAATATATATAGAAAAAATTAGCCGGGCATGGTGGCACATGCCTATAGTCCCAGCCACTTGGGAGGCTGAGGCAGGAGGATCCCTTGAGCCCAGGAGTTTGAGGTTGCTGTGAGCTAGCCTGATGCCACGGCACTCACTCTAGCCTGGTCAACAAATCGAGACTCTGTCTCAAAAAAAATATATATATATATACACACACATATATAATATATAAAGAAGCAGCGAATGATATGAGAGAGGTAGATACTTTCTTATAGAGAGAGATTTGGTTTTTAGAGCAGTTTTTGCTTTACAGCAAAATTAAGCAGAAAATACAGAGATTTCCCACATATCCCTGCCCCTACACATGCATACCCTTCTCTACATCACCCCCCCCCACAAGTGACAATTTGTGACAATTGATGAACCTACACTGACATATCCTTATCACCTGCATCCATAATTTACCTTAGGGTGCACTCTTGATGTTGTACCGTTCTATGAGTTTAGACAAATATATAATGGCATAAATCTACCCTTAGAGCATAATATAGAATATTGTCACTGCCATGAAAATTCTCTGTGCTCCCGCTATTCATCCCTTCTTTTCTCCTAACCCATGGTAACCACTGACTTTTTTTTATTGTCTCCGTAGTTTTGGCTTTTCCAGAATGCCATATAATTAGAATCATACAATATGTAGCTTTTTCAGATTGATGTCTTTCACTTAGTAATATATATTTAAGTTTGTTTTCTATATTTTCATTACCTGATAACTTATTTACTTTTAGTATTGAATAATATTCCATTATATGATGTACCACAGTTTGTTTATCCATTCACCTGCTGAAGGACATCTTGGATGCTTCTCAGTTTTGGTAATTATGATAAAACTGCTATAAACCTTCATGTGCAGGTGTTTGTGTGAACATAACTTTTCAGCTCCCTTGGGTAAACACCAAGGAACACAATTGCTGGATTGTATGGTAAGAGTATGTTTAGTCTTGTAAGAAACTGCCAAACTGTCCTCACAAAAGTGGCTGTACCATTTTGCATTCCTATCAGCAGTGAGATGTGAAACACTGCTTCAGAAATTGTTTTAAAACTTGTCTTTCTAAATAACTGTATTTGTCATTATTTTGTTTATTTTTTAAGTCACACAGCTAAGTGTTGAAGAAGTTTCATAAAATTGTTTAGAGAATGGAGGAATGTCTTTTCTTAACAGAGATAATTGTTATTTTGTAAGCTTTATAATAGACGTTAAAACCCAGACACTAAATTAAAATCTGCATGTCTAAAAAGAGTTTTTCTAACGGACATATTTTGTAAAGTAGTACAAGCTGCAGATAATTTTTAGAATATATGAACTCTTCCCAAATTTTCTTTGGTACTTTATATTTGCTTGACTTCTCGTCACATCTTTAAGTGCCCATTTCATATTTTACTACTATCTACATTTAGTCATATCAAGGAGGGAAGGAAAAGAAGAAGGGAAAAAAAGAGAAAAAAAAAAAGGAACTACAGTAAACAACTGTTCTTGGTAAAACCAAACAGGAGATATAAATAACAGATGATATCTAATATATAATACAGATTTTATGCCAACTTAACAATTTTTGAGATGCAGTTTTAGTTTACTTAAGGTATATGTACATGGTACAAGTTTGTTCTCATGACTAAAACTGCAAATGAGCAGAAAACTTTCATTTTTTTAGAAGACTTATAAACATTATAAATAGTCCATTCACTTAATGCTATTCTGTGGTGTGTGCCCATATGTATGGAGTACTTTACAATAAAAATGCACTTGGATTCATGTTTGTGATTACACATTCATGATTAATGGCTGCGAAGGGTACAATTATGGTGGTTATATTTTTAATTGGGTATCATATACTAATGTGACAGCTTTTCCTATAAATGCATACCTATGAATAAGCAATCAAAGTACACATTTCTTTTCTCCAAAAAGTAAAGCCTTATGATAACAAAAATTAATAGTTGAAATTCTAACTCTAAAATGCAAGAAGTGGAAAATTGTGTTATTTTCTAAGAAGATATCATTTTATTCTCTTGTTAGCTTGCAATTCAAATACTGTGTGATTTCTTTTCATTTAGAAACCTTATTCTTATTTTTGTTTCCTGATGTTACATATGGTCTGAAAAACTCCACCAAACATTGCATACTGCACAAACTGAATTCTGACAAGTAATATAATGAACAATGATTGATGGGAAAAACATGGGTGAAGTGCAGCTCAGCAAAACTTGTCTTTACTCTTACTACTGTGGAGGTGTCCTCTTCTGCACCCCACATAGTGTTCAGGACTTGATTTCTCTCTATTTTGCAGACACTCAACTTCCTCATCTTTCCTTCATTGCCATCTCTCTAACCTGGGGAAGCTGACTGCCCTGTGTCTCATTTCTTAAGGATCATGCCCATCAGTGAATCTATACTACTCTGATAATTTCTAAAAGTTTTTTGATCTTTTCTGGTAGGAGCTATAGATTTTAGTCAGGACTTCCAATAAAAAAGGAAGAAGCCAAAGGAGTGAGAATTTCCGGAACTGACATAAGAATAGGAAATTAATAGATAGTCAGCTGAAACTTGTAGTACCTTAGAAATTATACAAAAATAAGGGCTGACTAGCATTTTTTGTTGTTTGTGACAAGCTTGTCTAGACCAATATTTGGCACAATAACAAAAAATCGGAGAAAGAAAGCACTTCTGGAGCATTTAACTTTAACCACATCCATTTTCTTTTCATTCAGAACCAGTATTTATTAGTAGTTAAAAACTAATTTACAAAAGAATACATTTTTGAAAGCAAAATTAGTTTTCCCACTTAGTTCTGATTATACCTGTGTAGCACAAACTTTCCAAAGTCACCTTAAAGCCTTTTTTTATTTTTTCTTTTTTTTATTTTCTTCATCCCTTCTTTTATTATTTTTTTTAATTTTCTTTCTTTTTACTTGGATTACACTTAAAGCCTTTTTGAAACAAGACAGGAAAGAGATAAATAAGTGATTGCTAATAATTAATAATCTCATCATAAAAGACTGAAATTGACTATGCTATTTAATTCTAAGAGCTTTTATTTCCTTTAATTTTAATATTTCTCTTTCATTAGCAATTAAAGAACTTACTATGTTAGCACACACCTAATTATGGCCATGAGAAATAATGTCTTGAGATCTATTTTTAAATCTTTAACCTCAGTAATAACTAGTCATAGGCTCTTACTAGAATTTTTCCTGAATGTTATCGTTTTTCCTCATTCTAATGCTATGCTGTCATCCATAAGCCATTATTAATGTTAAGTGATGTTTTCAAAGATAGTTTATATTTAATTATATTAGTTTTTAATATCTATAGTTTAAGAATCTTCTCCTGAGTATTGTTTTGCAGACTTATCTTTAAGTTAGTCTTGGTAAATATTTAATTTGCTTTTACAGCAGTGAACAAATTTTCCATGTGGTTGTTATTTAAGTGAATTATTTGTTCCTTTTCCTAGATTGCCTGTGCTGTTTTTGCTGCCCTCTTACACTTCTTCTTCTTGGCTGCCTTTACCTGGATGTTCTTGGAGGGAGTGCAGCTATACATCATGCTGGTGGAGGTTTTTGAGAGTGAACATTCACGTAGGAAATACTTTTATCTGGTCGGTTATGGGATGCCTGCACTCATTGTGGCTGTGTCGGCTGCAGTAGACTACAGGAGTTATGGAACAGATAAAGTGTGAGTATATTATTTCCTTTCTTTCTTTTATCTCTTTTTAAATCTAGTTGAAATATAAAACCTTTGTATTTTCTTGGAAGCTAAGGTCTTTATTTTACCTCATAGCAATAAATGAAGGAACTGGAGCAGCGAATGGGTATAATTCAGTCCATGGTTATACTTTGGTTATGATGTAAAAAGAAAAAAAAACTTAAGACTCAGAATTATGCTGTTTTAAAGCAGTATAATTGTTTCATACCTGCATCATAATCGTGAGTTGTTATAAAGAGATGATACTTGACATATTTTTTCAGATTATTGGAACATTTGTCAAATGAAGAAGTAGCTATGTGAAAAGCTGTGTGTTATCAAAGGACAGTGCAGTCCTTGACATTGGTTGCTTCTCTTTTTCCTGACAATGTCAGTTGTAGTCACTGGACACCTTTCTATATCATTAACAGAAAGACTATAGGAGCAGGGATAGTTGTGTTTCTCCGTTATTCTCCTACGTGGGTGCTGGGGTATAGTGATGAATTTTATTTTCAACATAACTTTAAATTGGTGAGATATATTGAGAGAGATGTCCAGCACATTAGAAAGGAGTTCAGATAAAAATATTTTTGTAATCTACATAAATATAACAGTTGAGATTTTCAGAATGAACGAAAGTTTCAGTAGCCCCAGGAGAAAAAAATCAAAGTGGAGAAAGAGAAGAGGCAAGCAGAGCCTTAGAAAGAGAATTTAGAAAGAGTATCAGGTTCAAGGAAAGTAGGAAGAAAATTTCAAGATGGTGTTTCAAAATTCCATCAGTGGTGTTTTATTTCTAAGATAATTCAAGTTGGATAAGCATGGAGGAAAAAAATCATTTCACCTTTGCAATAACTAGTTTGAGAAAGTGTTGGAAGCAGAAGCCAAATTGGAAGGTGTGAAGAGACAAATTAGCAGTAAGAAGGTAGAGTCTTCAAGTATCCTTTACACCCTGAAGTCATTTGATTGAAAAATGGTGAAATAACTTATGTGATAACAATAATGAAAGAAGATTTTAAAAGATGAAGTCTTAAGCATGTCTAGAATGAGAAGAATCGAGTTGATAAGAGGAGATTAATGGAGAGAAAATACCTTACGCCTCATTTGTATTCAATATATATGGGCTGAATGAAAGGGAAAGGTCCGGGAGGTAGAAAGATATAAGATTAAACACAAGATTAGGAAAACCTTGATTTAGTACTGAAAAGTGGCCTTAGAGTTCACCAAGCCCATGGCATTAATTTTATAGATGAGAAAATCAAGCACCAGATAAATTAGTTGCCTTGCCCACAGTGACAGAGCTAGATGGTGGCAGATGTGTGATAAACCGAGTCAGGTTTATTTCGAATAAACTAGCATATTTTTTGTAATAGTAGTAAAATTACCTTTTTCTTTTGAAGCGACTTTATCTGTGTAGGACAGATAAAGTTCAATTTTGAAGCGGGAGATCTTTTCCATCAAGTAAGAAAAAGATACCGACTTCTGTCGAGTGAATAGGTGAGGTCACATTCAGAGAACACGGGAGATTTGAAAAGCTTTGAAATGAACACTATGGAAAATGTGTTAAGGATCCAATTAGACATTACTAAAAAGATTTCCAAGTAGCAGTGAAGGCTCAGATGAGCTTAGATAACTTCAATTTGTATGAAAGTTAGTAAGCCAAATTTCATGACTTTCCACCAGCAAATAGCAGTCTGAATGTGCTATCAAGAATGCAGTTTGCTTCCCAGAAGTGAGGATTCACAGAGAGGGAGCAACAAGGGGAGGACGACAGAGTTAGTGGGTGCATGGTTAAAATAGCACGTGTTGGTGCCTGGGCACCAACAGTGCAGTTAAAAAAGAAGACCATCTAATTCTGTTGAGTTGTTTGTTTTTTTTTCTTGACTATAGTAACAGGCTATATAAAGCCATGTGTCTGAACTCTAAATGTAGCTAACAACAACTATTGTTTAACCTTTCTGAGTTGTAGTCAAGTCAGAGTTCATTCTGTGAATTTCTATGATGATGGTGGAACAGACGAAGATTAGACAAAAATATATATTATCCAAGGTTGCCACTAAAGACATCTTAGGGAAGGGCATTAGATTGATCACAGTTTGTTTTTTTTAAATATATATAACACTTTTATGGATATAATTCACATACTACAAATTTCACTTTTTAAAATATACACTTCAATTGCTTTTAGGATGTTCACAGTGTTATACACTCATTACCACTGTCTCGTTTTAGACTATTTTCATCAACTCAAAAGAAATCCATTAGCAGTCATTCCCCTTAGATCATTTGGTTAATGTATTTTCCCACTAAGAAATTAAGTTGAGTGATATAGTCATTTGTGACCTTATACTATTTCAAATATTGTTAAATAGTTCAATTTTGCTGTCCCACAGTTCCTCATTTGCTTTTTATTGTTATTGTTTTATGTTAACTTTTTTTCTCTTTAGGTATTTGCAAATTTTCCTGTTACTGAACTGACTGAGCTTGTTTGCTTTGTGTTTTAGTCGTTTATTTTGAGATCGATGTCATTTTCTGGATAGTAGTAATCTGTCTTTTCTTAGAATCAATAATGTGTAGTCTCTTGTGACTTTGTTAAAGCTTTGGCCATCATTGCTTTAATTTCCTCCACCATGCATGACTGGAAGCTCTCTTTAACTGACATTGTTACTGAGTGGGAAAAGAGGCTAATTTATTTCCTAGGCAGTGATTTAAAACAAACCTTAATAATTATTTAGTTTTGTGATTATGATTTTTCTCAACATGAGGAGAAGCAAAACAGATACAGAGAAAAGGGAGGATATGTGGAAAAGAGAGAGAAAAGCTATAGAGAAAATTACATTAAAATTATTTCACGGGTAAGCATAAAGCATTTTAGTATCTTGTTTTTTGTATACTATAAGTAAATTATCCACAGAAAGGCCTTGAGAGTACATGGAAAAAAAATGTTTAACTTCTACCCTTCAGGAATTCATCCAACCCATTCTCTATACAGTGCTGTTTTGCCCATTGAAGAATCAGGTATTGAAAAGAAAACTATTATTCAGTCATTAGTATTTACCTAAGAAGAAAAAGGAATGGATCATGTCTCCATAGGGTTTAATCAAAACATCTCCCCAAAGAAAAATATAAGCAATGAATTTTTACGCTACTTGGAAGATTTCTGCATATAGAATTGTGTATCTTGTTCCTTATTATCAAATCTGTCTTTATTGTTCCAGTTTCTGTTACTGTTGTTTATTTTATTTCATATGGCGTTTCCTACTCCCTACTGAAAATATGACTCATTTTTCATGAAACTCTGCTATCTCGCATTTGTTTGCTAATGTTACCTTCCTGTACCCTACATTGATTTTTAAATACAAATATATACAGTACACAGTCTAAAACAAACTGGAATTAGGCAGAATTCAGAGAAATATTGCCAGCTATTTTACATTCACTGGTTTTATTCTAGATATACTCTAACTGATGTGTTTTCTATGAAATGTTATTAGGGCTGTTGAATTTATTATTATGTACAAAACACGTACACACAAAGCATACATAATTTTACTTTGAGAAGCTGCTTAGTTTGCCATCAATTTGCAGTGTTTGTAAGAGAGTCATTACTTTTTGAGGTTTGTTTAACGAAACCTTTTTATCTGTACTGACATTATACTCAAGAATGTACTTAGAATAATTATGTGGTCATAATAATCAGACATTTAAACAATCCATCTGAAATACCAATAGTGTTTTTTTAAGAAAATAACTTTCTGCTAATGAACCACAGGTCTAAATTGCACTGTTAATCGTAGGCATTTATTTCCATTTCATCTCTCTCTTTGTATCTTCTTTTTGCCTCTCATACTGTTGTTCATGTGGACATTGAGCAAAGCCATCCAGTATGATACTATCAGAAGAAAATTGTAGCAAAGGCTGGTATTGACTTAACAATAATTCAAATAGGAAAGATTTGGAAATCTAGTACTAAATACTTAGGTTTTCTGACCTGAAACTAATCAGTTCATTTAAACTTTAATTACTGCAATATTACCAAAAATTGCAAACTATTTGAACAGTTTATTTTTATTTAAAGAAAAAAAATCGCATTAGTAATTTATAGCATTTTCCTCACAATTTCATGTATACAATTAAAAAAGAGTGGTTACTATCTGGGTTGATTGCAAGAAGGCATTAGAAGTGGATGCCAGGTGGAGGGAGGGAACTAAGCCCAGAGAATTGCTTAAGGGAGAAAATCTAAGCTAGAAAATTGATAATGGGTTTCTAAAAGACGTGGATTAAGTCCTGAACATTATAATCGATCAGAACATTCTTGAGTACTAGAAGAATAGCCGAGCTCTTAAAAATAATTGAAATCAAATTTTATGATCTGAAAATTGTTATAAATCATCTATTAAATCTTACATTTGTCTCCCTAGCTCTCCAGCTTAAGAGCATCACTGTTAGCTAAAGGCCCCCAAATTTCTTTATTTTCACTTCATTATCTAACCAGCATAATCATTTGGGTAGAAAAGTGATTATTGATTTTTTTTTAAAATACTGGATTATAGTATTATTCAAGAAAGATCTTAGCCAAGGAACATTGAACTTGATAGTATCACCAAGTTATATGCACAGATTTATTTAATACATTTGTTCACAATTTCTAGACATTTCAACCCACTCAAAAGAAATTATATTTTCATTTGGAGTATTTTTTAAGCAATTATATGATGTTATAAAATATACTTACTTATGAAATTTTATTGGCATTAGGCATCTGCCTCACTGGAATACTCTCACCAGGTATGTCTGACTGTAGCTCGGCCAGTGGGAAATAGTATAGATAATGAAGAAGTATTTTTCATTGACCTATCATAATCATTCAATGTGTTTGGAAAGTGCATGTGTATGTTTATATGTTATTTTATGAAAGGCCAAGTACTTGTTTTATGTGTATGTACAGTTGAGACTGAGAGTTAATTGTGTCATTGTTTTATCAACCAGAAACA